AGGTAAAATTGAAGGCAAGCCGGGATTACCAAGGTTTTGCAACAGAGTCTTGAGAGGTGCAATGGTTAATACAGCCTTAGAAGCAAGTGTCCTCCACATGTATAAGGGAGGTGGGGACTGTGACCTGTAAAGAAACTGAAAGCACAGACTTGCAGACGGTAATGTGCAAAGCCATAAACAGATGGTCACGGGTACTAAAGTGAGCTAGGAACCTCCTGGGCTATAATAAATAATTTAACTAAGCATAACTTAAATTGTTTATATATTAGCCATCTGGATTGCTAATTACTATATCCAGAAAAGGAAGCATGCAATATGAAATGATTCTGAATCATCAAAATCACAGACACAGGCAAAATAAACTACCTTTGCCTATTTTCTGAAACAATATAAATTTATCTTTTGTTGTTGGAAAACAAAATATGTGGTTGAAATCAGGGAAGACAAAGACTGTTAATTCTTTTAGCAGATAAGAGAGGTTAAATACAAATTACTAGTATTGGATCTGTTACAGTTTAAGACACATAAGGTATTATTGTTAATTTTAAAAAATTAAGTATACTGTATTTATGCCTATGTTTCAATGAATGTAACTGCCATGATCTGAATGTGTCCCCAAATGTTCACATGTTGGAAATTTGGTCCCCAAATTCATATTCTGATGTTATTTGGAGGAGGAACCCTTGGGGGGTAATTAGGACTAGATGAGGTCATGAGAATGGGCCCCCATAATGGCAGTAGTGGGCTTTTAAGAAGAGGAAGAGAGACCCAAACCGGCATACTAGATCAATCTCACCATGCAATGTCCTCTGTCATGTTATTATGACAAAAAGATGCTTTTGCCATGTTGCTGGACTGCCCAGACTCCAGAGCCAAGAGCCAAACACATTTCTAATCTTTATCAATTGCTCAATCTCAGGAATCTTCTTATAGCATCAAAAAGAGACTAACATATTAACGTATTATATGTTGTATTTGTATAAATACATGTATATTAGGGTTTTCATGGTATCCCTCGAGATCATTCAATATTTAACCTCATTTGCCTCTCGTACCTTAGCCATCAATTCTCCTGTCACAGTATCACAGGAGTTACATTATTGAAGTCACTTTCGGGTATTCCACAGTTTAGCTTCAGTCACTATCAGCAAATCTTTTTGTTGTTTTTATGGCAAGCTTGCATAATATAATTGACACAGCATGGAATCTTTGTATAATTATGATTGACTCCCTCTAAGCCACCATTTATAACTGCAAAAAGGAAGCACTTAAAAATCCCAATTACTGCACTTTTATTGTTTTATAACTATTTTATCTTTTTATTATAATTATTAATATATAAAAATTTATTTGAATTTTGAAACAGGTCTTGCTGTGTTGCTGAGTCTGGCCTTGAACTTGTGATCCTCCTGCCTTTACCTTGCAAGTTACTGAGATTATAGATATGTGCCACCAAGCCTGGCTGACTTACCGTTTTTTATAAATGCGAAATAATATGTGTTCTTTGTCTTTCTGTGTTCTCTAATTCCATCCATGTTGCTACAAATGACAAGAGTTTATCCTTTTTATAGATGAGTAGTTTTCCATTTATAAATATACCACAATCTCTTTATTCATTCATCCCGCGAGGGGCCTCTAGGTTTGATTCCATATTTTGGCTATTGTAAATAGTGCTGCAATAAATATGGGTTCAACAACTATCTTTGGGGTATAAATATTTCATCTCCTTTGGCTATATACCCATTAATGGAATTGACAAATCATATGGTAGTTCTATTTTTAGTCTTTTGAGGAAAAACCAGACTATTTTCCACAATGGCTATATTAAATTATATTCTTATAAGAGTATATAAGAGTTCCCCTCTCTCTGCATTCTTGCCAGCATTTGTTATTTCTTGTCTTTTTATGGATAGCAATTCTAACTGGAGTGCAATACTATCTCACTGTGGTGTTTCACCTGCATTTGTCTGATGATAATGAATTGCACATTTTTTTTTAGGTATTCGTTGGACATTTGTATGTCTTCTTTTGAGAAGTGTCTATAGTGTCTTCTTGTCTATTTGCTGTTTTAGATTGTGTGGTACCTGGTTTCATGCCTGATATGCCATAGTGCTCAATGATTGCTAGTTTGTTTGCCTCTTAAGATTTTCCAAGGTTAAGGAATCCTTGTTCATAATAAACATAAGGCATTTGAAATGGTAAAACAAATCACCACTGAAGACAAGATTTAGTAACACAAAACTGTTAAACCTGAGATGTAGCACAATACCAGCACAGCTACCACCTACTGAATACTTACTAAGCCCTATAAAGTCTAAGAAAATACCAAGAATCATAAGTACTGTATGAAGGTGGAGAACACTGGGTGGGACAGACACAAGGCAAGGCAGGGTCCAGTGCTGCCCCCTGGTGGGGAGCTGGGAGCCTGGCTACTAATCACTAGTTCTGGGAGTGGAATAATGGATTAAATATGACTAGCTAGGGAAGTCAAGAACTCTGGAGATGGTTAAAATAATTCTTCCCCGCAAAGAATATATTTTCCACACAGTGATATGATAGAAAAGTGACATGTCAACCAGATTACAAAATGTTATGAGTGGAAAAAAAGTCCAATATATAAAAGATGTAAACTAGGCACACACTTAAAAAAAATAGAGTCAAGAATAAAGACCATACAATATCATTTGGTAGGTTTTTAAAGAAATAATTTGCTCTTTATTTATTTTGTAGTTCCGGTAATTTTAGCACAGATTTCTTTCCAAGAACAGCTTTGGAATGATTTTTCGCTCAGTTCTTCTAATGACAGAAAGTTGGATACAGCCGATTGTGTAAGACTACATACTATCTTGAGTTGGAAAGATGTAAGACAAAATTCAAAGTGAGATAAAAAATATGAAGGTCTTTCCTATATAGATAAAATAGGCTGATAAAATTACTTTCTTTTCCTGAAAACCTGTTAACTGATTTTTCTAAGCATTTAACGAAAGTCAGAAAAGCAGGACAGTGTAATGAGAAACACATCACAAATTAAAATATGTGTATGTTATCTGCAGGATTATCTGATAAATCAGCATCTTATATTTCTAAGGAAAAATACCCCCTCACAATTTAATTTCAAAGCAAAAACCCAGAAAAGTGATTTTTAAGTTTCCTTCCAAACAAAAAGATTCAGCTTATATTGGGTAATCATTATATCACTATATCAATTTGAACTATGAGATTATATTTTACATCTTGGAAGGGAGTGCATTAAGCTATAAATGTCATAAACCCTGCACCATACAGATTATAGACTCACTATTTCTTCTCTAGGAATAATATTAAGAAGTATTTTTAAATTATTTGTAAATGTGCTTTCTAAACCTAAATATTAATATAATTTAGTTTCTATTATTGAATTAATAAAACACCAGAGATTTCACTTCTAATTGCAATTAGTTGTCTAGAGATCAGAATTAGCAGTGCAAGAGTTAAACTAAAAATATAAGAAAAACTAAACTACTATTCCTAAATGACATATATTTCATAACTATAAAGTCCATGAACTTAGAAACTTACATTTAGTCTTAGTTATGTAAGGTTAGACATCACCCAGCTTCCAAATATTATCACAGAATATTTGTTTTAAATCTGCTATGAAAACTTGCCCATAGTCAAAACATGAGTTTTAGCAAATGAGAAAAAATGATTCTAGTCTCTTGAATCACACTTTCTCAGCAAATGAGTCACAGAAACCTGAGAAGGCAGTATGCCAGAAATTCCAAATTAATTTCATTACTGAATTAAATAAATACAACATTACTAATGTAAGATATTATTTTCATTTAAGCTAATGCTTTAAAAGTATGTATTAAAGCATGCATTAAAATTTTTAAACAGAGCTTTATGGGTGTGTATTAACTATGCACCAATGTTCCATATGCACGCATCTATAAAATTAATTCTTTGAAAAGCAATCCTTAAACACCCCAAATTAACATAATGCTCCCCTAAATGTTAAAGGTGTGCTTGTTTTATTTTTCTAATACTGCACAAATAAGATGCACACAACAAACACTAATTGATACCAGGTCTTTCACTTTTAAAACAACTGAACCAATATAACTAAATAAAAGAGTATATGAATAATATAATTTTATATAGATTTGTATAAAACCTAAAATATTATTGTGAAGCCAAACTATTTCAGCAAAGCTTCTATGTGTTAAATCCAAATTTTGACTAAATAAAAATTTGAATCTCTATTACTTAACTTCACCAAAACATCATCAACATCTGCTGACTTTTTAAAAAATCCATTTCATCCTCTTTTATGCAAATTACTGGTAATTTGGTATATTTTTTCCCTAAAATTTTTTAAACAAGTTAAAGAATAGAATTGAATTCTACATTCATATTTTTATCTAAATTTGGATTCAATTTTTTAAATGGAAGCTGATTTTCTGAAGTTAAAAAAAAAAATGTTATTTCTGATCTAAACAGGTCTCCCTGGATGTACTCAAGCTACCTAAAACAAAGCAGGAGAATAATATTAAAACATGCATAGTAATGCTACCTGATTCAAACTCAATAGTCACATCAGAATATAAACATGTGTTAATATAAAACCATCTATGAATCTTGATGTATTACCTGTACAAACCAAAGCAGTACAACTTTTAAAATCAAATTTTAATATTAATTCAATATTTTGTGTATTAATCCAGAGATTACTGTAACAGCTATCTAATAAAAACTGCTACTATTTCTCAAAACTATACTTTTCTAAATTTTGCTATTTTAAAAAACAATTAATGAAATCAAGGAAGTGAAAATTAACTTATAACTTTAAATAAATTCACTCAAAAAAATGAACTCATTTCAATTTTCTTAAAATCTACAGTAGTAATCACAAAGTAAAAACTAGAACCTTATCTAAATCACTTTGTTTTGGTTTTCGAGGTAAAACCTGTAAACATTTGGTTCTGCTTTCTCACTTTCCCCCATACAGTCTTGAGCTATGACTCTAGTCACCTACCATTTCCACCTGAAGGGCAGGAAAAAAAAAAGAGAGGGCTAAAAATTAATTTCTTCATTAACTGTTCCTGCAACACACTGTTTGCTGCAAATAGTCTCTAAAGATGTCCTGAGGCTTTAAAAGTTCAAAGTCTAAAGTATAATTTCTTTTGAGATACACATTGTGTGCAAGTTTCGACATTGAAAATGCACTGGGCTACAATGCTTTTGTTAAAATACTTTAAATTCAAGAAAGGGGAAAAAAAGGCAATGTTCTCAAATTTCCAGACGCTGAAGCTTCTCAAATTTTATAGTTCAAATTCTTCCTATAGAAGAAAGCATCGACAGCAACGACAGCAAGGACGTTTCAAAGTGGAATTTCCTTAGAATGTGGATGCATAATGATAAACATAAGGGACTTGCAGCACTGGGTCACCTCATGAACAAATCGCTCTCTGTAAGGTAGGATTTCTGGTGTGCCTGGCACCAGGAAATTTTAAATACTCCTGAAAAGTGACTTTTGATGATCTTGCAAAGCATTCAATTTTTCTGCTTGTTTTTCCACAAAATTCTTCTTGTAGCAGTCTACCACCACCAAATGGTGTCGAGAAGGCAGAAATCAATCCTGCCTAACGAGAACTGACGATTCCTTTGTCTTGTGACAGAGAAAACATATTGTTTTAGAATTTAGGGGACTGAAACTACATTAAAAAGATTTCTGTTAAAATTTGTCACTGTCCCAACTTTGCAACCTGTTTTTAAGTTTCAACACTAATTATAAACTGAAACTACTAAAAAAGAGTGATTGCTCTCTAAATGGTACCATCTTCTAAAAAGTTAGAGCTGGATTAAAAAAAAAATGGCTAAACTATTTTCTATTTTACAAATTATACTCTCAGAAAAACAATAAGGTTTCTTCTTAAGGGCTTTTTCCTTCTCTTTAAACATGTTAAATTTCTACATTGTCTATTACTTTTAAAAGAACATCAAAACAACTTGCCAAAATAAAAAAGGCAAGAAAAAGGAAAAAACAATGTCCATTTTACTTCACCTGTAAATGCCAAAAGAGATGTGCCAGTGTTTTTTTGCTGATTTGAAGACTAAAAAAAAAACTAATCCTGGGTGCCATAGCAACATGACCTTTAAAATTTGGTTTCACTGAATAAATAAATCAGACCAAGTTATTTTTCAGTAGTTTAATTCTGGTCACTAGATTACTGTAGTTTTATTAATAAAGCATAGCAAAAATAAATGTTAAATGTTCTCACTAGTAATTAGGGGGATGTGGTAAAACTTGACCCCCACTGTTAATTGTTAATTGACTTTTACTAACATGGTAAGTTAGTAAGCCTATTCATTAAAACAAGTCTAGCAATTGTAATTATTGTTAGAATCTAATGAAAATAAACTACAGGATCTAAAATATATTTTCCTTTCTACTGTATTTACATATGTTTCTGCCTTTAAAAATTGGTTGATATTTTTTACAAAGCAGCTTTTCAGGTTGAATATCTATGAATTTTCATACACACATTTTTATATTAGTATTGCAACAATCAGGGGACTTTTCAGAACTGGGAGGAAAATAAATATGCCTCAGTTTTTATTCTCATAATTGGATAAGTGGAATGCTGATAAGACGAACCCTGGGCTGGGGATGTGGCTCAAGCGGTAGTGCGTTAGCCTGGCACGAGTGCGGCCCGGGTTTGATCCTCACCACCACATACAAAAAAACCAAAGATGTTATGTCTGCCGATAACTAAAAAATAAATATTGAAATTCTCACTCTCTCTCTCCCTCTCTCACTCTCTCTTTAAAAAAAAAAAGATGAAGCCAATTCTGCACATATTCTCACAAAGTCTATGTTGCTTGCTCAGTGCATATTTCTAAATAAATGTGTTAACCCATAGATCTACTAACAAAGCATTGGTTAGTGATTAGAATCTGGTTCTGGATACTTTTTGTAGTTAAATGTAAAAATATAAAATTAGAAATGCAAAAAGGTACTTCTAATCAAATAAATTGTGATGAGCTAAAATTTGGGGTTATAAAAGGGTAATATTCACGTAAGTTTATTTAGATGGATCAGAGTATTTACTCAATATTTTTTATCTACTTACTTGGGGCTAAACCACATATTCAGTCAGATTCCTCCATGAAGAATTAGAGATTAAGACACCTAACAGGAATTTACATTGATCATACACCAAAATTAACGATGTAAGCCAGTACATAGGGACACATACAACCAATCCTTTTGTACTCAATACATCCTGGTGAATAATCAGAGAAACAACATGGAAAACTGTAGAAAAAGAAATGCACATATATGAGGTTTTTTTTTTTTTTAAAAAAAGGAATAAATATATGAACACGTGCAACAAAAGATCCAGACATTTAGTTACCAGACTTAATGGTATTGTTATTTAATAATAAAGTCTTAAAACTATAGAGATAGTCTCATCTGATCCTTTCAAAAACTCTGTGGTAGTCTCAAGCAAGAAACTGAGACTGGGAGAGGTGAAATGAGGTGACCAAGGTCATCAAGTGTACTCCATTTGTGGCTATTTGTTCTAGTGTGCCTGGTTAATCTCAGATGCACTGAAAAAGATGTGATTTACAAGTGTTCAAAAGTCCTGCTTGGATACAGGACTTTTAGCCCCAAGTAAGTTGATAAAAAGTATTGAGTATATGCTCTGATCCATCTAAATAAGCTTATTGTGAATATTACCCTTTTATAACCCCAAATTTTAGCTCATCACAATTTATTTAATTAGAAGTACCTTTTGGCATTTCTAATATCCAAATTTTATATTTAGTGCTACCATTGCACCTGTGAAAGAGAAACTGATGGAATTATCAGCTTATTTATGTCAAGTCCAACCACAATCTTTTTTAACTTTTATAAGAATGTTATAGTTGAGTGCCTTTTGAGGGAAGAGGGTCCATTGGCTGGAGAATAGGCTTGGATGTACAGGTTGTGTTGGGGTTTTTAAGATACCAAGAAGATGAGCAAATAAGAAATGTGTACATGAGGAGAATTTATTTATAGTTAATTGCTAGCAGCTTGAATGCAGAGCATGAGCGGCCACTTGGGTTCTAAAGCCGATTTTGAATTCTCAGGAAAAATTGGACATTCACAGTAGGCTGTAAGTTTAAAGTTTTTTCTACTACAAGTTTTAAAAAAAATCACTTAAGTGCTTCATTAAGAAATTACACTTGCTTCCCTTCAATTATTTCCTTATCTATGACACAATCAACTAATTTGATTAAAATGTAGCATTGTGATAGACTGTAAACTATGTTTATTTAAAATATTTAAATAGTTTACAAGTTTTATCCTAGCTTTAATTTAAACTGGAATATGAAATATAATCTTCCCCTCATGGCACACATTTTATAGCTATTCTCTGTGATTAACTCATTTAGTAAACTCTAATACTATACAACAAAATTTCTAAAGTATTTAAGTGTCTTTTGAGAATAAAATTAAATTCCCTTTTCACAATTAAAACAACAGACAACATCATAAGCCATTGCAATTAAGTTAATCTTATATTAAAATGTAAAAATGAGTACAGTATGGGGTCTCACTGTCTCAGACCACACTCACCAGCTTCAATTAGTGGTTACTGGCACAGCCCCATAGCTGTGGACTCTCATTAGAGGTGAAAAGCTAGTTGCCACAGACAAGTGCCATCAAGTGGACATGGCCACACACAGATAGATCCATCTGTCCCTGTGCATAGGATCTGGGATAAGCATTTCAGCCATCTCTGGGAAAGTATCTCATTTAAAAGCCCATTGAGATACATATATATCTGTTTACAATGCATTAGAATTTCATCATTTTCAATTCCCAGACCCCCAAATAAGCATGCTTACATTTGACATAACAAATCACCAACCCACAAGGATTTTCCTTAGGTTTCCTCAAATGCTAATTATGTAGCAAATCTAATTAAGTGCATATGATTCACTTCAGCAGTAGGTACTTCAGTTACTTCAGAACTGCCAAAAGGGATCTGAAGTGTCTATTCTCCCTCCAAAACAATCATGCTGCGCGCCAAACTGATAACCATTAAACACAGCTGCAGAGCAAATGTGTGGCCTTGGTCCTGTAAATACAGTGTTCACACATCAGTCTACGCTTCAAGCAATTTCAGATTCAGAACTACCGACTGCAGGTTTGCATTACTGTTATATGAGTATTACAGATGAGTACTAAGTCATCTGCTTCACCCAGCATAGCTCGAGCAGATTTCTCTACACCATGAGAGTTCCCGCTACTTAAGAACACATTGAAACTCTGCAAACCGCAAATATTGATAAATACATCAGGTCAACATACTGAATCAGTTTGTTTTCAAGCTCTATAGTTCACATGAATACGAGTAAGGGTCATTTTGTGTGTTCAAGAACACATTTATGTTTAACTTCATTCCTTAAGAAAATTATATATATTGTCATTTGTAAATACTTTTAATTATAGAACGTGAGAGTACAAACCAACCTAGGGTAATTCTGAGCTGCAGAAATTAAACTCCTTACTTCAGTAACTCATATGATTTCCATAGAAGAAAATCTTTTTTCAGGGGGGCTCTCCAGACGGTGTGGGTTACCGGATGCTTAAGGCCATGACCGAATTCCCTCCTGACACTCAGGTCGCTATGGCAACTACCTTTCCCCTATCAATACGCAAGAGCTACAATACTTGTATTTTGAAAAACCTATTTCCTTTTCTGTGGCGAAAACCATATGACCTAATTTCAGGACTGAAAAATATCTCTTTTGGTGCAAAACAAACAATATCTTTGCTGACTGAATTATTGCTCTAGAATTCAGCTTTATAAATAAATGCAAAAATAGTGAGCCAGCCATTGTACTCCAGTTTCAAAACAAGGCAGAATTTCTGACATGAGTAGTCAAAGGATGTTACAGCCGGATTGGGTTATGTGCTTAGGTCCAGGCAGAAGAAAAACGGGTCTTTAGAGAGACAGTAACTTATCAGAAACAAAACTGGCAACAGGAAAACAACATATGCTTCCACACAGCTTTTGGAGTTTCTTAAAAGAAGCAGACATTTCAATAGTTATATTTCCTATCTATGGTTGTTTTTAGATATATAGTTATTACTGTGCAGGGCAATATATAAATTGACATTTCCAAATTAAATATAATTATTTTTTGTATCCACTTGCTCAAGTATCCACAGCTAAATCTCTAAGTGGTTATCTTACTTGGAGTGTGCAAAATCAGGTTTGCAAATCACAAACTGATTTCAAAGCCCTTTGTTTTAAAGGAACAATGTCTGAACTGGAATAACCTTTTTTTTTCCCTAAACACATGATGAATGTACAACTTTAATAATTTCTGTTTATACTTATATTCTGTTTCACCTTGGGACATTAATGAGAGTAGTCACTAATGATACAGCCAAAATAAAGAGGAAGGAAGGAAGG